GAGTGAACCAATCCGTGGAAGCGTACCTCCGAATCTATTGCTCCTACGACCAAGACGACTGGGACCTCCTCCTACCAATGGCCGAATTCGTATACAACAATACCCCAAACACGACTACAGGTGTCTCACCATTCTTCGCCAACAAGGGTTATCATCCAAAGTTGTCCATTACGCTGGAACAGGTGCAGGGAGCGGAGGTCAATGAGTACGCTTCCAACCTCAAGGAGCTACATGCGTACCTCCAGGAACAAATTGGGGTAGCTAACAAGGCCTATGCGAAGTACGCGAACCAAAAACGCCAGGAGGCCCCGGACTGGAAGGAGGGTGATCAAGTCTGGCTAAACATGGAGAACGTCAGGACTAGACGGCCTATGAAGAAGCTAGACCACAAGTGGACAGGTCCCTATACAATCTTGTCGAAAGTAGGAAGTCATGCCTACCGACTGGACCTCCCTGGGGACCTCCACAAGATTCACAATGTGTTCCATGTCGACAGACTGAAACCTCACTTCCACGACAAATTCAAACGCCAGACCTCCCCGCCTCCCCCAATCTTCATAAAAGGGGAGACGGAGCATTTTGTCGAGGACATTCTTGACTCCAAACCCAAGAAAGGACGACCGGAGGAAGTGGAATACCTCGTAAAATGGGAAGGGTATAATGACTGAGTTCAACTCCTGGGTAGGATGGGAAGGTATGGTGGGCTCGATCGAGCTCCTACGTAGCTGGCACAAACACCACCCGAGGAAACGCCAACCATCGCGTCTGCAATGGGCTTCCTTGGAACGGGAAGCACGGGAAGATGAGGAGGAGGGACCGGGAAGGTAGAAGGGAGTAGAGGGGGGAACGAGAATAATGAAGACACGATGGGGACGACAACCCCACATTCACAACTAACTAACGATACGTGCATCGGAAGGTTCACACGAGCTGAATGCACCATGATTTCAATCTCATTTGTTTCACACAATACGACGAAGGTTTTGATTACTCAACAAAAACAAAAGATCAAGCAAGCATAATATTTAACAGAAGTACAAAAAGGGGAATGGAACTAAAACTACAAAAGGGATGCTACAACGACTCCTCCTTGACGATTCCCTGACCCACCGCCAACTCGGTACCTTCCATCGCCACATCAATCCTACTGGCATAAGCCTCCTCCGTCTCATACAACTCGTCATCATCGCCAGTTAGATCGATGGATAGGCTGGCGACGGACCCGAAAAGGAGGGGCAGAACTGGGGAACGAGGAGGAGGAGAAGGGGAGGTCAGGCGACTCCTGCTCCGACAGGAACAGGGGGACTGGAGGATGGGAACCACCAGAAGGAGAGGACACCTGGACAATCGGCGCTTCAAGGGACTGCTCGACGTTTGCCTCGACCGACGACTCGGGAACTGGCCCCGTTGACGACATGGGAACTGGGGGATCAGGAACAGGCAGCGGGGTATCGGTGATGTGGTGCATGTACTGCAACATTAATTGCTCCCAGTCCTGCGTCAACTGGTCGTCACTGGGGATCGCAGGAACTAGATCGTCCCACCGTCCAGCACCCCCTCGGTGGGGGAGAGCCGTTGACAAAGACAACATACGGCAATGAAGGGGAGGTTCCAACGAGTCGGGAGGGGGGCTAGTGAATCCGGCGTGTTGAGCAGCAGTCAGAAACGGACGATCACTGTCAAAACGGGAGTTCTCCAACATCAGGGTGTAAAGGCCCTCGTCTTGGTCGACAGCATTGTTAAAGAACCACTGGATGCTGCTAATGGACCGTATGTGGAGGTCCCCATGAACACCACGCGCCGTTTGCATATAATCCAAGGCCAGCCGGATGTTGTGCTCCATAACGTCGGGATCCTCGGTTTCCAGAGCACGACGAAGGAAGGCAACGACTGCTTCAATGATCGCACCAATGTAACGGTTGTGATGGTGAAGCACGGTGGCAGGATCAGAGCGATAGAGGCGGTGGGCGAGAGTAGCAACACGACAAAGGTCTGCCCGAACCTTGACGAGGTCCCCTTCGAGTTGTGAGAGAGGAGGGAGGACCACCTCATAATAGCCCTCATCGGGATACTCTTTAATCATACGCTCGACGAAAGCAGCACGACCACGAGTGCGATGGACCTCCTCCTGAAGCTCCTCCAAACGAGCACATTGGCGAGTCGAAAGGGCATTGCCCTCATCCGTAATACCGTGTTGATACAGCAGAGCAGTCGTCAACTCAGAAATCCTACGGGAGGAAGTGGAAAGCTTCCCCGTTGCGTCATCCCAATCCTTCTGGGTGATACGAAGTTCTTCCTCCACTTTTTGGAAACGCTCTAGAAGACTCTGTAATGGGAAGGTTAGACAAACGATAGAGTGAGGACTGCAGTCCTACAACTTACCTGGTCAGACGGTCCCGAAAGAGCCCTATCCAGGGTATTAAACTGGTCAATGATGCGACGATACTCCTCCTGGCGCTGGAGGAACTCCTGACTGGAGGACCTCAATTGCTCCACCTCCCGTTGTCGAGATTCGAGAGCATGCGAGGTGTCCCGAAGAGCAGAGGTCAGGGAGGAATTCTCCCGCTGTGAATCAGCAAGCTGAGTCTCCAGCAAACGAACCCGAGCGGCAAGACGCTGATTCTCAGCACAATAAGGGTGCGAAGCGGGATTGCGGGGTACCAGGGCAGGACGGAGAATGGGAGGCATGGTCGAGGAGAGAAGATCCTGCCCTGTACCTTTTATGGGTGTTCGAGCAGGGGAGGAAGAACCGGCTTGCTGAACCAAACCAGGATGGACTTCCGCCGCATCCGCCAATCAAACCAAATCACTGGGACCCTGCATCGGCAGATCCCTGTGGAGTACCCCCATTAAGGAAGGGGAGGCAGGAGGGGGAACAGGAGGGAGGTAGGAGCCACTGAGCGAACAGGCGGAACCACCAACCGAACGCGACGGAAAGGCTCTACATTCACCTCTACTGCAGGGGACTTACGACGAGAACGCTTTTTGGAGGCATCCGACCGAATCTTCTTGCTGGAGGGACCAGCCACAGGCATAGGGGAATGATTGCGCTTACGTTTAGCTGCAACAGCTGCTTCGTCCCGCTGCAAGGTAAGAAATTGCTGCAACTCTTGCTGATCAGCATCGACGGCGTCCTGCTCGTCCAACATATTCAGCTCGAGAAGGATGGAGGTGGAGGAGGTACGCGCATGAAGCGCAGAGTCGTATTCGCACCAGGCAGTCAATGGAATACCCCAAGTCGATTTATGGGCAGGAGTTCCGTGGAGCTCTAAGAATCTTCGGCTGTAGGCAAGATCTTGATTACAGCGACGGGCGAAATATCTATACCGGAGGATCTTCCCCAGACTGCAAGTCTTCTTGGACAAGCAGTTCGTACACCGAGGGGAGCTTGGCAACACCTTACATTTTCCTGGGGTCTTCAGACAATTGGTACAGGGAGATGCTACCTCCGCTAAAATAGGCCATAAAGGGTCATCCTGGCAGTAGGCCGACAGCGATTTGCCAGTATTGAAGACCGTTTCGAACAGCTGGAGCTGGGGACGAGACGGCGACTCGATCGTAAAAGCTAGCTCATCAGCCTCGACCTCCCCATCAGATTCAGGAGCCGGGGAAGGTACCTCTCCCAAAGCGGTAAGAGGGGGTAACAACGGAGATGGTGTGCGTGAAGAAGGTCGAGTAGGGGTGGGAGACATCGCAGTTAGAAGAGTTTGACTCGTAAAAACTGAGGCGGTGGAAGAAAGGGAGAAGCTAGGATCTGAAGGACTTCAACAAGAAAATTTTCGGGTACCACGTGAATGTCAGGTGACTGCCCAGAAAAACGCGCCTACCCATCGCGAGGGCGCGAAGGGGTTACAGGGGGGGGTAATGTCATGCCCTGGCTACAACCAGACCAGTCCCAGTAACCACCACACGTTACCATACGTCCTACCCACCTCCTGTATGCCCTCCGCACCTCCCCAAGTACCACCAGACACCTCCCCAAGTATTTCTGACGCCACTACCCAAACGTCCTTCACCCCGACACGCGTACGAAAGCCCTCTAGCCGATAACCCCTTTAAGTATTAATCTCGATTACCTCCCTCCCTCCGATTAGCTACCTCATGCCTCCAGATGTTCTCTTGTTCACTTCCCGTACCTATTTAAGTAACGCCGCAATGTCCCGAAGCCCCAGCTTGGTATATTTTGAACACACACCCTTTTGCATAGGTCCAGTCCCTGTCCCTTTGTACCTGCTAACCATACGGATTTCTCTTTACTCTCTGTTTCTCTACTTCTGTTTCTCTCTACCTCTGTCTATTGTCTCTCTGATCATCTATACGATCGAATATACGCTTTCACTTCAAGTCTAAGCCTTCCGAGTGAGTCCCCGAGCTCCCTCGAACATTACTAAAGCTCCCCAACGCCTACCCGCCTTGGTGAGCTACCCTTCCCCAAACTTCCCAGAGCTCCCTAGCTACTTCGTAAGCTTCGGGACCTCGATCTAGGTAACGTCGAAGCTACCCCTCACGTCGGACTACGTATTGCTTCTCCGTTACCACCTCCCACACTCGAGGACGTCCATCCTCAAGCTCAGCCCCCAGGGACCTACCCTTCCTGACATATCCCTTCTCGGGAGCTTACACTCTCGAGACCCAGTTGCATATACGACCTACTCGATCCTATATTGACGTTCTAGCGAGTACAACTCCTACTACGCAATACTGTACGGTCCCGCACTCTTCCTTAACCTCCCTACGCCTTAGGGACCTCCCTGGACCTCCTAGGGACCCCCTCAAGGGTCATCATCTCGTCGTTCCAGACACTACTAGGTCATTCTCGTCCTCGGTCGCGGTTCTCGTAGCTCCCTTCGAGCTCCAGCCTGCTCCTAGCACGCTACAACATAAAACTTCATATACCAAACCTACCCTAAGACCCATTTTAACCCAGGTCTTACAATCGTGCACCTGCAGTGCCTTGCATTTCTACTACACTTTACAAACTATTCACAATCATTTGTTTGTTAACCATCTGCCTCTGTTATTTCCATCTGTTTCATTCGTTTTTGAGTGTCTTCCTCATCATCGTCGCCAAATTCTAGTCTCCGTCTGAGCGTTGGTTGCATCTTTACGTCCAGAAACTGATTCTTCACTTTCTGTTTGAGCCACCTCTGTTCAATGTAAGCTTTCTTTTCTTCTATGCTTGTGCTATTCACTCACTTGCATATGCGTAGCATCCAGCAGTGTGATATTCCGGAGTGATAGTCGTGCCTTCAATTCACTCCCTTTCCCAAATGCTATCATGCTGAATGCCACGTCTACGATGTCACCAACGTGGAGTTTTTGAGGTGGTATGCGCACGGTTCTTCCAGACTTCTGTGAGTCTCCTAACCTGAGCGTGATAATTATTTGCACTCACTTTCGGCGGCCACTAGCATCAACCTTCTCTTCTCTTCACCGTAAACAAACATCATGTCTGTTGCATTTACCCTCTCAATAAATCTGTTTTCGACCATCTCCTTATTAACTCTGGCTGGATTCATGTTTGGGGCCTCTACCTTTGGCGTGAATATCCAGTTCGACATCTCCAACATTGGTCGTTCGTGATCCCCCTTTGTTGCAATGATTTTCAAACCAGGCAAGTGGCGGGCAAATAATGCGTAAATGTCGTATATAGCATCTATGTCACTTGCAAAGGATTGACTACCCAATCCGCTTACCGTGATTGACAGGCGGAGTTGCTGCATTTTCTTCTTCGTCCTTTTGAATCACTGTTAGCTCTTTCATTGCTACCAAAAAAAAATGCTCACGGTTCTCCTCTAACAGGAGGGAGTTTCTTGTCCTCTATGACTCCTTGCACATGTAAAATCACCTCAAATATTCCATTTGCGTCGCTTTGAGCCATTCGCCAGCAAGTAGGTTCTTCAAATTTCTTTATTTCCATGCTATCCTGCCATCCTTCTGCCTGTTAGATTGTAGTCGTTAAATTCTTCTCTGTGCAGTAATGGCAGCTCTGTCGCTGATCTCAACAAGATTGTTAAGATGGTGTCACGAAGCGGCAGAGGTGGAGTGACTAAGCGGAGCGGCAAGGCGGAGCAACTGGGCAAGACAAGAAGGTGGAGCGACTAAGCAGAACAGAGGCAGGCTGGTCCCAGATAATGACAGAGATATATTGAGTATTGTAGTCACATACCTGGTCCCAGATAATGACAGAGAGGTCAAGATGAGGGACCAGGCTGTAAGGGACTGGCTTTATATACATAATCCGATCTGCGAGAAATGACGATGTAATACTGTACAGTTTAGGAACAAGGAAGGTGGCAGAAGCCCATAGAAGGAGAAGGGTAACAGGTGGATCAGTAATCGATGATGGGGGTCAGGTGGATCAGTAATCAATGGGATTTGACAGTGATGTAATTGTACAAGTAAGGGCGTTGAGACGGTGAGAAAAGGAAAATGATAGGGGCTACATACTTCATGACATTACCCCCCTTCTTACGACCATTGCCCTCGATGGTCAAGCTTTTGCTGCTGTGGGGTGTTTCTTGTGGAAGGCCCAAACAATTTTTGGAGCACAGCTGAGGTTGGGCGCTGGCTCCCAGGAGTTATGCCCTGTGTTGTAACCCTTCCACTTAACCAGGTATTCCAACCTCTTCCACCGGACCCGACTATCCAGGATTTCCTCTACTTCATATTCCGGTTCGTCTTCATCCTCTAGGTAGACCGGCTCTGGTGGTGTTGGTATTTCTCCATTGATAGCATTACCTTTCCAGGGGTAGAGTTTGTCGACATGGAACACAGGGTGAATGCGGTCGAGGGAGATAGGGAGGTCAAGTGTCATGCCTTGCTTCTCCGGACCTTTCCCTTTCCTTTCCAGAGCTCCAGTTCATCACTTATACATGTTTCCGATATTCTATGCACCATCCTTACGATCTTTACTGTACATATTACCTGTCACTCCAGTAGCCACATGACATATGTACCTGACAGCCTCATGTACAGTATATAGGCTGGGGACTCCCCTTGGAGCTCCCCAGCGTGTTATTGTCAAATCTTACCTGGAAACTCTTCCTACCTGGCTTGGTCCCTTTAGTACAGTCTACTAGTACTTGCTAACAAGGCCTGACATGTCTCAACTGTCATATATTTCCTCATTATCTGTTTCCTTTATCTCTGTCTCACCTCAACTCTATTTCTCCTCTCTGTTTCCCATCTCTGGCCTCTTTCTGTCAATCCTCGTATTGTCTACGCCTCTACTTCGACTCACCATCTACGTCGAGGCTCTACAATTTGTCCTTCATCCTTTGGAACCTCTCATTAGGTTCCCAATTCCGCTTCATTGCTTCCTAAGCTCCCCACAGCTTCCCACTCGTATCAGCTACACCTCCCCTCCACATCAAAGCGGTGGTTACGCGTTACATTCTACACCTCTAGGACCCTCTATTAGGTCTACCCAAGCTCCACAACTACCCCTGGTTAGGCTCCCCTCACCAGTATCGGCACTATCCCATACCTCCTCATACAGCCTAGGCAGCTACTGCGTTCGCTTAGGCCCAGTCTGGGTAAGACCAGAGCAGGCTTCTGTGCCGGGGCCTCACATCAAGGCAGTAATCCAAGGGTCCGATTTTCTCCAAGATTCGGTAGGGTCCAAGCTGCCAATCTCCTAGCTTCTCACTGGATAGTTGGAGGTTGATGTCTTCTGCGCTGAGCCAGACAAAATCTCTGACTTTGAACTGGTGAGCTTTTCGTTTTCCTCGTTCATATCCCTCTTTTTGCTGCTTTTTCCCTAAGTGCAAGGCGGCCTCTGCATCCTGTCGGGCTTCTCGGAGTATCTGTATGCGATCATCTACAGCTGGGATCCCGCTGCGTTGTCCAACTGGGATGTTGAACAAGGGGAGGTATCCATAGGTTAGCTCGAATGGGGACATGCCTAATACAGAATGGGTTCACGAGTTGATTACAAACTCAGCCATTGGAAGGTGCTCTGCCCAGTCATCCTGCCGACGATCTACGTAGAGTCGAATGTATTTTTCTACTTCTTGGTTGGTGCATTTAGTTTGACCATTAGACTGAGGACGGTACCCAGAAGTAAGATCTGATTTTATTCCCAGTCTAGCAAGTAGGGATCACATGAGTTTGGCTGCAAACTGAGGCCCGCGGTCCAACTTAAAGTGAAGAGGGAGCCCATGAAGACAGAAGATTTCCTTGTAGTAGATGTCAGCAACCCCTTCTGCAGTGATGGAGCTGGTACATGGGAGGGCATGAATTTGTTTCCCATAGAGGTCCGTGCAGGCTAGGACTGCGTCGTATCCTTAGGAGTTAGGTAATTGCGTTATCAGGTCCACCCCTACCTCTTCCCATAGACCCAAGGGTACGTCCAGTAGTTGAGTTACAGCTCGTGGGTGCCTTTGGATCTTTTTGCATGTGCACGTCTCACATCCCTTTACATACTTTTCCATGAAGGAGCGCAGTGTTGGCCACCAGAAGTGGGTGCTAACTAGATCGAGTGTTCTGTGGAGCCCAGGGTATCCAGCGGTGGGATGGTCATGACATTGATGTAGTACTTCGGTGCGCAGATCATTGTCTGCTGGCACGTACACTCGTCCTCGGTAGTAGACCAGACCGTTGTCCTCCTCCCATTCAGCAATTCCATTGGCCAAGCATTGTAGTCTATGCTCTTTGACTGTTTTAAGACCTTCCAGTACCTGTGCTTCTCGCTGTGAGGCTTTCCGGATGCGATCCTCTAAGGGGTTCCATAGAATAGAGGCTGCAATTTTGGTGAAGTGATGGGCTTAAGGACCGTCTGCTGTCGATTATCCTCATTGTCTAGTACCTGGTGAGCTGCCATATGGGAAAGAGCATCAGCCTGAGTGTTTATTCTACCAGGGCGGTGGATCATGTGGAAGTCAAACCATGAAAGGTATAGAGCCCAGCAAGCTTGGCGGTGGTCTTGAGCTGTGCACCAGAATTTGAGGTTGGAGTGATCAGTGATGATGTCGAATGGCTGGGGTAGTCCCTCTAGGAAGTTCCTCCAGTCCTTCAACGCTTCTATGATGGCTAGCATTTCCCAGTCATAGATCTCATAGTTTCATTCTGCTGGTTGCATAGAGGCTGATCTAAAGGTGACAGGATGCCATTGGCCATCATCTTGCTTCTGCATGAGGGCACCGCCAGTAGCAAAGCCTGAAGCGTCTACCTTGATTTGGGTTGGTCTGTCCAGTGTCCATAGGGCTAAGATGAGTGCAGAGATGAAGGCCTCTCGGAGGGTATCAGATGCTTGTTGCTGAGTGTCCATCCAGGTGAAGGATATGTCTTTCCGAGTGAGGTTGTTCAGGGGCCTGGCTATCCTTGCGAAGTTCCGGATAAAGTGTCGGTAGAAGTTAGCAAATCCAAGGAACCCTCTAGCTCTCAAAGGTTAGTGGGGGCTGGCCAGTCACAAACTGCAGCTACCTTTACCAGGTCCATTCTCACCTCCCCTTCCAATATAATGAGGCCTAGATATTCAATCTGCTGTTGTTCAAATTCACACTTCTCCGGTCATAGGTATAGATCGTGCTTCGATCTCCGGATTTACCTTTCGTAGCCAGGGAAGTCCAAGGATAACATCTTCACCTCCTAGGTTGGTGATCAGAAAGTCCATCCATCATTCTTGACTATCCACTATGTGTGCTAGGCGTGCAAAATGGGTTATCCGTCCAGCTTGGTTAGGTGTTCCATTGATATTAAAAATGTCAATTGGTTTATGAAGGGGTGCACATCTTACATGGTTCCGGGTGGCTGTTAAGATCATGTACACCGTGTAACCGTGCCAGGGCCACAAGGTATCTAAGTGCGGAAGACGAGTGGGACAGTAGTGAAGTTATTAACAACACCGCCGTTACGCCGTTAGTCCCCGGAGATTGAGAGTATAGAGAGAGGAGCTAAGTAGCAGCCAAGTCGGAGCGGCGGTATCGCCGATGACGAGGAGCGAACCAGAGGACATTCAAGTCCTAAGGTCGAGTAGAACGTGCTTCAAGGCGATGAGCCTGAAGACTTAGAAGGGCACAGAGTTAAAGAGGGAATCTAAGTCGATCTAAGTTGATAATTAAACTGAGGAACTACAGTAGCGTACAGGCAGTATTTATATCTACGGAACGGCGCAACAGTGCGGAGCTGTCATGCCCTGACCATAACCAGACCAGCCCCAGCATCAGCCCACACGTTCTCACATTCCCGACTCTCCTTGCACCTCCCCAGGACATCCCTGAGGCAGTACGCACCTCCCCAAGACAGTACCACCACCCCCTGAAAACGTCCGGACAACCATTCCGACACGCGTATGAAGCCCTCCGACACCAGCCCCATTAAGTACCAATCTCGATCGCCTGTCTCTCTCGATTATCTGCCTCATGCTCCCTAGGTTCTGATGTTCCCTTGTTCACTTCCCGTACCTATTTAAGTAGCTCCGCAACGTCCCCAAGCGCCAGCTTGGTATATTTTGAACACACACCCTTTTGCATAGGTCCAGTCCCTGTCCCTTTGTACCTGCTAACCATACGGATTTCTCTTTACTCTCTGTTTCTTTACCTCTGTTTCTCTCTACTTCTGTCTATTGTCTCTCTGATCATCTATACGATCGAATATACGCTTTCACTTCGAGTCTAAGCCTTCCGAGTGAGTCCCCGAGCTCCCTCGAACATTACTAAAGCTCCCCAACGCCTACCCGCCTTGGTAAGCTACCCTTCCCCAAATCTCCCAGAGCTCCCTAGCTACTTCGTAAGCTTCGGGACCTCGATCTAGGTAACGTC